AGTTTGTTCTAGCCAGTCTGGTCTAGTCAGTATTCTTCATGCAGCCAGGCAGTTTGAAACTACAAACTGATACATCTAGTAATAATAAAACTTACCTAATGAGAAAATACCAGACATGTTATATGTCTGGTGTTGTCTCAGTTTGTTTTGTGTGTGTTTATATTTTTGGGCTGCAAAAAACAGTACGGAAAAAAAAAAGGTTCCAACTTAAGTAAAAAGGGAAACCCTGGTCTAACCAGCTTTCTGTGTGTCTTACACTCCACTTATCCAATCCATATTCCTTAACTTGCTGACAAGAATATTGTGGGTGACCATATCAAAAGCTTTGATAAAGCTGGCACTGGGGGCTTTGGGAGGACCAGAAACAACTTATTTGAATATTCATCATTTGATTGATGAATATGCAAATATACATTACCAGTCCTCCAAAAGTTCATGAATGGATTTACTGGTCCCCGTGTCAAAAAGTTTGGGAACCCCTGATCTAGATCATCCCTCATAAATGTCTATCCAACCTGCGCTGCAATATCTCCTAGTGATGGAGATTCTACAACCTCCCTAGGCAATTTATTCCAGTGTTTAACCATCCTGACAGTGAATTTTTCCTAATGTCCAACCCAAACCTCCCTTGCTTCAGTTTAAGTCCCTTGCTTCTTGTCCTATCATCAGAGGCCAAGGAGCACAATTTCTCTCCCTCCTCCTTGTAGTACCCTTTTAGATACTTGAAAACTGCTGTCATGTCCTCTCTGTGTCTTCTCTTTTCTAAACTAAACAAGCCCAATTCTTCCTGAGCTTTACTCAACTCAGAGTAGAACAGAAAAATTACTTCTCATGTCTTGCTCACAACATACCTGTTAACGCATCCCACAATGGTGTTTGCTTTTTTTTTTTGCAAGTCTCACACGTATAATTCATATTTAGCTTATGGTCCACTATGACCCCTAAATCTCTTTCTGCAGTACTCCTTCCTAGACAGTCGCTTCCCATTCTGTATGTGTGAGACGGATTATTCCTTCCTATGTGGAATACTTTGCATTTGTCCTTATTAACCTTCATTCTATTTACCTCAGACCATTTCTCCAGTTTGTCCAGATCATTTTGAATTATGTCCCTATCCTCCAAAGCACTTGCAACCCCTCAACCCAAGCTTGGTATCATCTGCAAACTTAATAATTGTACTCTCTATGCCATCAACTAAATCGTTGATGAAGATATTGAACAGAACTGGTCCCAAAACAGATCCCTGTGGAACCCCACTTGTTATGCCCTTCCAACATGACTATGAACCATTAATAACTACTCTCTGAGAATGGTTATCCAGTCAGTTACGCACCCACCTTATAGTAGCCCCATGTAGGTTGTATTTCCCTAGTTTATGGATAAGCAGGTCATGCAAGACCGTATCAAATGCTTTACTAAAGTCTAGGTCAGTTGTTTTCAAACATTTTGGCCCATGGACCACTTGGCTCAATGTAAATCTTTCCGCAGATAGCCAATTGCTAATGACCACGGTGCCCTCTTACCATACTTTCTAACTTTCCTACGCAGTGGTATAGTTTGCTTTTGGGCTCTTAATAATGTCCCTTTGAAAAAACTGCCAACTCTCTTCAGTTGTTTTTCCACTTAGTCTTGCTTTCCATGGGACCTTACCTACTAGTTCTGAGTTTACTAAAATCTGCTTTCCTGAAATACATTGTCTCTGTTTTGCCCTTCTCCCTTCTACCATTCTTTAGAATAATGATTTCATGATCACTTTCACCCAAGCTGCCTTCCACTTTCAAATTTTCAACCAGTTCCTCCCTACTGGTCAAAATCAAATCTAGACCAGCTCCCCACTCCCCCAGTACATTTCTCAACCTTCTGAAGTAAAATATTGTCTCCAATGCAGTCCAAGAACTTATAGGATAATCTGTGCCCTGCTGTGTTAGTTTCCCAACATATATGTCTAGATAGCTAAAGTCTCCCATCACCACCAAATCCTGTGCTTTGGACAATTTTGTTAGTTGTTTAAAAAAGCCTCATCCACTTCTTCTGCCTAGATAGGTGGTCTGTAGTAGACCTTTAGCATGACATCACCCTTGTTTTTTACCCATTTTAACCTAACTCAGAGACTCTCAAAGTCAGTCTCCTATATCCATCTTTACCTCAATCCAAATAGTCGATGGAATTTCCATAGACTATTTGATTAATCAATAAGGGTGCTTCCACTTTGAAATGGAGCAAGAGCCTGCTGGCTGTTGCCTCATTTTAAAGGCAGAAATGCCACGTGAGTGGCCTTCCACCTGTGGCGCAATGGATCAATTAATCCGTTAACATTTTAAATGGGATTTTACGTCCCTAACTCTGACCTAGCAACTCCAATTTAAAACCATTTATAGAAGCCCCGTATACTCTGCTTAACAAGCTATAGGGAAAAAGGCTGTTTCCTACCTTAGTAGGATATGAAGGTAAGAGCCAAGGCCCGTAAAAATGTGCCACCAAGCATGAAATTGAGTCACGGCTCCCACAACTGGAGGCATCTTCTCTCGTAATTCCCTGTTCACAGAAACATGTAATGCATTTTTTCCTGAGTATACAGTCACCAGAAACAGTGTTCACTTGTTAGTACTGTTTCACTCAGTCATGTACTTCATGTGTTCAGTATTATGTCAACAACATTTAGTTTGGGAAATTGGCAAACCAGGTTGGAAAACCACTGAGAGGCTAGATACAAGTATTTAAATGGACTAGACCAGTGATGGGCAAGCTGCCACCCGAGGGCCGCATGCGGCCCATTGGAGTTCTATGTGTTGCCCACAAGACATTTTGTTTACCGTTGCCCGCACCCATGATTGCCAAATTCTGCTGGTTTTCACCTGCATAATATTTTTCCCCCATTGATATTGCAAAAGTGACATGAACTAGTCTTAAAAGTAAGGTGCATACTGACTGCATACAACATTGGGAGAGCCGTGTGCTCCTTCTATATCTAAATTGCTACTATGATTCAATCAGCACACCTCACAAATTCTAGGTATGTAAGCGCAGTTAGTAAAATTGCCTTATATTGGCAGATTGTCTTGATTATGACAATCTTGTGGCCCGCTGAGATGAAGAAGAGTTACTCATGTGGCCCACTCACTATCTTTGGCTGCCCCTCACTAGTTTAGACCTATAATTTCAGGTACTGTATTATTTAAACATCAGAAAATACTACTGCACTTTATTTCCCTGTTACCTCCCAGACTGGGGCTTATACTGCTCTTATCAGGGGATGGACTCAGAATTCTTCTGCAGAAAATAAATAATGGAACTTAGAGATTAAAAGATATGCAGAAAAGTTGAAAATACTTACCTCAATTTATCACAGAAAATGTTGTCTACGTTCCAAAAAAAAAATCCCATTAAAAACACACTTAGGGATGTATAGCCCAGACCCCTAAGCCACGGGTATACCCTAGGGGGAGAACAGTAAAGTGAAATTTAGTTTTTAGGATACAGAGTGCATTTAAAGTAACATATATGAATTACACTACTTACAAGGTAAACACCTAGTGGAAAAAAAATTAAAATTCCTTTAATGGGACATCATCAACTAGAAATAAAATCACATTTTAAAAAGTAAATTAAAGATAGCACATACTCTGATAAAAACATAACCCAAGTCCCCTGCTATCCTGGGGGTTCACTCATGTTTTCCTTATTTCTCCCCTATAAGTTTCTTACCCTAATAGCTAGGTGTGAATAAACCCAACACAAACAAGAGAGGAAACAATTAAACTGACAATTCCAATGTACGGACTAAACCAATCTCCCCCCCCCCAAGTAATTTCTTTCAGCGTTTTTTTGGCATTATTTCTCAGAGCAATAGGTAAGCACGTTTCAGACAGAAGTGCTGTCAGTTATGTTTTTTTTTTTAAATAGATGCTGTCCCTTTAACATTCAAAAGCAAAAATTATTGTAGCCTTTTGATAAAGCAGCAAACCAAAGTCAACCACTAGCCTTATGAGCAGTTTAAGAAAAAGTAAAGTCAGATTATGTTTTACCAACAAGAGCCATTAGGACAAAAAATCCTGTTTAGGTTACAAGATAAATGTGCTAAAGAGCCAGAGACAAGAGGACACATACTGTTTGCATTCATGTAGACCCCAAAATTATTAGGACAAGTCCTCCAAAATATTCAACTGCAAACCCAAGAAGTTACCATGAAACACAGTTCATGTTATTTTTATCAATATACTATTCAGATTTTGATTTAAGATGCATTCCTGAGCTGCTTATTGTCTTTTTCATTATTTTTGTCACTGATATTTATCATCTACAGAAACAGCAATATCATTGATAAGAACATATTGAAACAAACAGTAAGGGTTTCTTAATCTGTAAATAAAATTATTTCACAGTAGTGTTTTCTGTTAATACACATTATGGAGTTGTGTGTTCAGTGACTGGCAGTAGATGTATGATTTATAAGCTTACAGACACTTTTTCCTCAAGGCAAAAACACCAGACATACACTGTGTGAGTTGCTGAGAGTGTAAACACAACATCCATTCACGTCATCAGCAGACCGATTTCTAACTAGTATTTATTTAGTCCCATAAATATAATAGGCGAACCAACCCAAACCATAATTACCCACATGGCTTATGTTTCAAGGGTGCAAGTTAGCTGGCCATATGAATGAACAGGGAAAGCCATATACTGCATACTGTTAATTACAGCTGAAATGGCTCACTAAATAGATGGAGTTATGTGTTTTATGGAGGAGAAAGGAGGTTGACATGCATTATTAACCGAAAGTCTGGTCCATGAACACATGGCAGCATAAATGAAAGCATAACGTGTGTCTGGATGAAAAAGATCCTCAGAAGAATCACAAATTAGGAGGGCATGAGAAACAAGAGCAGGAAAAGTTTGATTTTACCTATTTTAATCGAGGTGACAGAATATGCAAGAGAAGATGGTGGTGGGACAGACAAAGCTGTTGGGATTTACAGGGTTGAAAGACAGTAAACCTAAGTTGATAACACGCGCGCTTTTATAGTAGAAAAACATGGATATATATTGCTCAGAGCTAATTACCAGTTTAGAGGTAGTAAGTGAGCCCTTGAGTGAAGAGGTCACTCAAGAAGAAGAGACACAAAAGAGAGGAGAGAGCAGAAAGCACACCTAGTCACTGAATAAATATATAAAATTAATACTGGCTGCTTTGGCTGCTTTCTCAGTTTCTTCACTTTTGCCAAGAGATACGTTTCACTGGTTCTTAGTACTTCCAATATATTTGATACCATTCTTTTTATTTTGAAAAAAAAAATTAAATTTCCACTTCACATATGTCATTCTTTACGCATCTAATATTTACAAAATAGTAACTTCAACAAAAGTTTTATACCTTTTAGCACCCAAGTACTTTGCCTTCTAATTTTAAATACAGGGAAAACATTAACCATAGGCTGTGTCTACACTGGCATGAATTTCCGGAACTGCTTAAAATGGAATACTATTCGGTTTTCAGTTTTTCTGGAAAAGGAGCGTCTACATTGGCAGGCTGCTTTTCCGGAAAAGCCCTTTTTCCGGAAAAGCGTCTGTGACCAATGTAGACGCGCTTTTCCGGAAAAGAGCCCCGATTGCCATTTTCGCGATCGGGGCTTTTTTCCGGAAAAGACTACTGGGCTGTCTACACTGGCCCTTTTCCGGAACAGTGTTCCGGAATAAGGACTTATGCCCGAGCGGGAGCAGAATAGTTTTTCCGGAATAGCGGCTGATTTTGTACAGTAGAGCGTCATTGCTTTTCCGGAAATTCAAGGGCCAGTGTAGACAGCTCGCAGCTTATTCCGGAAAAGTGGCTGATTTTCTGGAATAAGTGGCCCAGTGTAGACACAGCCATCGTGTTTAACCCTGTGACTGACCCTTGCTTCAGCTAGCTACCAGAATAATCATTTGAGCACTGGCAAAAGAAAAGAAGGCAAAGTGCTTGTATCTGAAGGGATCTACAAACCACCAGTCCAAAACTACCACCAAGCCAGCTGAGAAAAGACACTTGTCACAAATGTGTGTGGTCCAGGCTTGCTTGAAAGACATGAATTACTCCTTTGTTGCCACAAAACAGAGAGCATACGACCTTGCATCTCTCACTCATTTAGGGAAGTGGTTAGCAATACCGGTTTCTTATGTTGTTTTTAAAATACACATCTACTAGAGATGCAAACACTTAGAATGTATTTACTTGTAACACCGAGATAAATAAAATCACTTACCACAATACAATATATACAGACCGTAGTACTATAATAGAAACCAGTGATCCGTACATAATCTGCAGGAAAGTGGAGATAATATTCACTATTAGTGTAGGATAGGCATGTATTATTATTTTTGTATACCAAAGTAACACAAAAGAAAATTAACCATTTGTTGATTTATCACCTATATTAATCTTTACTGATTTCTTCAAAATATATTTTTCCTGTTAAGTTTCCAAAAAAACACCTAGTACAAAAAGCCTCCAAAAAGAGAAGTGTGTGTCTGTTTATGCACAGCTTTTGGAGAAGTTTAGCTTTTTTTTTTTTTTTTTAAATGAAAATCCAGATTTCAGAGGCGTGCCAGGAACTGAATTAGAAAGCAAGCACTAGGCAGGAATCAACCCTAGTCACTAAGGTGCAGACAAGGAACAGTGCAGTTCACAGCTCCAAGGATAGTCAGCGCTCTGCTGTTGAGTTATGATTAGGGAATATATTGCCATGTCATCCCTTCTCTGTGCACTTTAATCAAGCTCCATACAAATGACAGTGGCCTTGGAAAATTTCTAACTTTGCAACTCTTTCACAGACAACATTTTCCTCTAATGATACCATGTATCATTAGTGAAAGCAGAAATGTGAAAAGACCTCACTATGTCTACCATTCAGCAAAGCCCAAGGGAGAACTCTAAGTTAACTGTGACATAGGGTACGTCTAGACTACATGCCTCTGTTGCCAGAGGCATATAGATTAGGCTACCAGACATAGGAAAATGAAGCGGCGATTTAAATAATCGCCGCTTCATTTAAATTTACATGGCTGCCGCGCTGAGCCGACACACAGCTGATCAAC